GCTAAAGTTGTGAAGCTGCTTGCGCTTCTGGTAGATTTCGCGGCCCGCTCGGATGTAGATGAAAAAGGTGATTAATATCGCGATCCTGGAAATGTGAGCGGTAGTCCTGTGCACCAGAGGGAACAAGCATACCAAACAGGTCCGTAAAACGTCAGAATGCGCCAGATTTCCCAATCCGGCGTCACCCAGCACCAGAGGGTTGCGTTTCCGTACACCCTCTGGCCCTGCCCATTGGTAACAAAGACGTAGGTCAAAGCCGGGACAAAGGGGATGCCGTAGCATGAGATGAGGTACGGGATCTCCATCTTGCGGAGTCTCTCGGCGTCGAACTTGAAGTAAAAGGTCAGGTAGACGTTGATGGCCATGGTCAGCGTCCAAAATGCATCGGCCGGCATGAACCTGCGGTCGTTAGCCAAGTCTCGAAAGGCGGGAGGCGGGCCTACATCTGGATCAGAAACGCCTGAAGCTGGCAGCCCGGCGACAATGGCGACTCAATGTATGACCTCGCCATGAGTGTACCAACGTTGGTCATCATGTTGCCAAACGACGCAAAGAAGACGAGGCGGTTGATTGGCTTGTGGAACGCTCTCGACGAGCAGAACGTGACGATGATGAAGACGCATCCCAGCAGCGAAAATACCGAACACGTACGTTCAATAATGCTGAGAAGATCGAGGTCGCCTTTGTCCAGGCTGACTTTCTCTTCTGGTTGATCCATCTTGTTGTTCAAAGTGTGTAGATGTGTTCCGAGTCTCGTATCAATACCAGTACGGTCGGGCGGAGGTCGTCGCCTGGGGATCGTGAATATCGGATGGGCCAATCCTCAAGTATTCGTTCTCCTCCGCGTAAAAGGAATGTGTCGAGGCCGACTCGAGTCGACTTCCCGTTTGAGACGTGCAGGCTCCTGACCAGGATGATCTACGGGTGAGCACAAGCGAGTGGTGTCGACTGTCCGAACCAACATGATCTGAAGGAGGAAAAGGGACAGAACAAGACGGGCTGGGCATTGATGAAGAGTCGGCAAAATGTAGGAATAAGGAGCAGAGCCAGTCATCGACTCGTCGGGGCGCCGCAAGCCTGGACTGTCGCATGGCTTGGGCAGGGGTGATGGAGAGCGGGATTGGTTAGGATGGTGTCGAGAGCGTGTTCCACGTCGGAGCAGGGTGCTGGAGGTACCTGGCACTCCGAGAGAGGCCTCGTAGAAGCTGGAGATTGGCTTAGTCCCCTCCAGGATGACGGTCATCGCAGCTGGAACAGGCCAAGCGGAGGACTTAGCTTACCACCTGCTAGCCCACACATCCAGCTTGGCGCGGGGTCGGACGAACCTGGGGACGCCAGGGTGGCCCCCGTCAATTCCCACAGCTGGCGTGAGTGAGATGCAAGGCTCCCCCAGGAAAATTGTCGCCGTTGGCTGTCGGTGCTGTCGTCAGCACCGTATTCGGGGAAGAGCATTGCAATCCTCAATCTTACTGCACGGCTCGCTGTTGCCCCTGAGATGCAAGCCAGATCGCAGTATATTGCATTTGCCCTATCAATGGATTACCCGCGCGTTGTGGTGTTCTTTTTGTCGCAATGATCTGGGCTTTGATCGATCGAGGTCAGGGCACCCGCCGGGATGGGAGGCGGAGGCATTCGAACTGTATTAAAATTCAGACTTCTTCCTAGCTCGCCGCCACCGACGACTCTGAGGGACCGACGACTTCACCCGTTTAGTGAAACCCTTGTCAAGCCACAAAATGGCAGGGATTGGGCGCAGCAAATTAGATGGCTCGTCTTTGGGTACTCGGGATTCTCCAGCAAGACGACTCGTGTTATCCATCCTGCAGTCGCTGGTGGTCTTGGTGGCGGACGACTCCATCCGAGGCATTCGCTTGACAGCTGAGCCGCGAGGTGCAGAAAGAGAGATGGCAACCGTCTTCGGGTTGCAGGTCAGCGGAAGCAAACGCGGCAGCACCATCCTACCCGACGTCCTGGTAGCACGGCAGTGCAGGCAGAGGAGAGCTGCGACCTCTGACACGAAATCAAGACCATCCCGTTTTGAGTGTCAACGGTGAATCGATAGTTGGCTGGCGCAGGGCTGACGATAACTCAGGACGACGTCCAACCCGAAATAGCATCGCACACGGCTGATAGATTCAACTGAGTTATCGTCCCCTGACCTGGCTGACGGCACGATGCCGGCGCTGACCACGTGGGAACGCCACCATCGCGAGCGCGCTCGAGGGGCCGGCGAACAGATGGTGCTTGATGCTGCTGAAGATGGAGGTGTCGGCTTGCCGTCTGAAGTGTCGTCTCTCGTTTGAAGATGGGACGAGGCAAAGACGTGGCAGCGCAATGACGGTGCCTAAAGTGTTGGGGTGCCGTATCCTCGGAGAAGCCACGAGCGACGTGCTGCTGCAGGTTGACGGATAAAACGGCTGGCTGAATCAAGCCTTCGACTTGGGGAGCCATGCATCATGTTGGCGTCAGCTGTGCCGCTGTATGGTAAAGGGTCGGCCTGGGCGATATGATTCTAGCGAGATTCGGGGTTGGGAAACCTAGAGGGCCGGGCCAAGCTTTGATTAGCCATAGCCCTTGGACGGGGGGGGGAACAGGCCAGAAGCATGATAGAGACAGAGGGCGCAGATTCTGAGATGCAGGGCTAAAGACGGTGATGAGCAAAGACAAGGATGAAGCAGCCAAAGAGCTTCGTGGTTGTGGTGATGACAGTGGGAGGGTAGCATCCCAAGTGGGCACGTACCTTTTCCCCAAACCCATTGATCCTTGCGCCAACTCCAGCGGGGGAAAGTGGGGTCATTTCCCGGATGGTGGACATCTTTTTCGGGGAAACGCGACTGCAAGCTTCCCAAGCCAAAACACGCCGCCTCTTCAGCCATTTCATCCCAACCCTACGGATCCATCTGTAAGGCACAGGAGAAGCTCTCGATTGAAATAGCACACCCGTGCGCCATGGTCAATCCCTTCCCACCGATATTCGATGCCCAGTCCAGAAACAGCTGGCGTGAATCAAACGGTCGACGGAGGAGGGCGCCAAATGGGCATCTGCTCATTTTATCTTCAATAGACCGGCACCAGAAGGGGACATAACGCCCATCGTAATCAGGAGAGACATTCTCGAACCGCCGCAACTCACGCTAGTCAGCCCTGCGACATATGGAAGGCCGTCGACTTGTGCCATGGTAAGGAAGCAGCGGTTTCGCAGACAGCAAGCCACCGAGCCAAGCCCATGGGCGATGATGGCTCACCGTTGGTATGGTTTGGCTTTAAAGTGAATCTCGGGTGCGGCCTTGGCTTCTGGTTTAATCACACGCGAATCCAGGCTTTGGAGCGTGTGAATGACATGTTCCCCTCACGCCGTTGCTGAAGGCCAGCCAAAATGCGGAGGAGCACATGGCCTAGCGGCTTGGCTTCGTTCAGCCCCAGCAGCAAGGCCCATTGCGAATCGAGCAGCAGGCAGCCAAAGTCCACCAACGCCGTTGTCTTGAATGAACTTTTGTTACAGGGGTCAGCCTCGAGCACCATCCTGCCTGCTCAGTCGGAGGCGAGCCGCGGTCTGTCTGTGCGTCTCGTTCAGAGTATTGCGACAAGCACTGCAACGCTACCCCGAGATGTCCATGGTTTCGACTTGCTCACATCCAAAAAGAGTCGAATGTGCCGCACTTGCCACGCACTCGACCGGGAGGATACTGCGGGGGTTGTGTTTGGGTCTAGCTCTCGTTAGGCATCACCTCGGTCGGCGACAAGTGTGATGGGGAAGAAAGTCATTGGCTGTTGCCAGCCTAGGTGGGCTGGCAGAATCATTAGTTTCTCGATCTACCTCACGGAGCCGTCAATCGACGACGAGTATATGCCAGCAAGACTGATGGCTTTGATCGACAGACATGGGACGGTCCATTAGGGATGAATCAGTTTTGGACCCACGCGGATGGGGGTTGGCAGAAACCAAGAGAACACCTGGAGCAGTACGAGTAGCACTGATCTTCCCGGACATGGCCAGACTGAATGGTCCCCCAATCTGGGCATTTAAGGGCTGCATCATTGCCGAGGTTGTCGACCGGTTGTGAGCTAGCTTTCCCGTTTGTTGTCTGGCCTGCTGTCGAGTAAAGCAGAGACATGCCAAGGCGCTGTCTAAGCGATGAAAAAGGACTCGCGGTCCGGCTAGTAAGTCATCGAGAGAGGACGATACTGCTCGTTGTGGTTTGTCTGATGCGTTCAGACTATCTCCAATGCCAACTTGAGTGTGGTCATGGCCCAGTAGCGTTCTTCTCGACTCCAACGCGGTGCCGATTGCGTCCGCTTGATGAGCAAGATTGCGCATCTGAGGAATCAAACTTCAAGCGGCCACAGTTGCTAGGGGATGCCGCGAGCCTTCTCCTCGGATCGCAGAAGGGCCCAGAAACATCCATTTCGCGTCCATGTTTGCCGACCTGGAAACAACCCAGAACAAAAGGATCAGGAACCTCGCAGCTGACGGCCAGGAGAGCAAGGCTAGAGTCTCTGATCCCGGACATACGGAATTCAGGCTGCTGAACTCTATACTAGGATTCAAATTGCGTTGATATCAAGTGGTTATCCAATGCCTTCGAGGGTCGAGCCTGAAGCCTGAGCCTGCAGAGCTGACAATGGCGCTCTAGAAGGAGCTCAAGAACAAAGCTGGCCCTGGGTGAACCACATCCTCATGTGCCACCTCTTTAAGCCCACGGAAAGAATTAGGTGGTGATCGAAAGAGGTCTGAAAGAGTTTCAAGATGATTCACTCAGGCTCTAACAAGCCCGTATCTTCTGCCCTCTTCCGCATTCCCGGCCCTCGCCCAGAAACACGGATGGGGCCATCGAGCCTCTTCCACCTTTGATTCGAGGCGAACTGCCTATGCCATCCATAACAGAACGTCCTCTCGATGCAGCCGTACAAAAGGCTCCATTCAGAAGTACCCCGTCGTTGATCTGCCATCTCCCTCTCGAAACTGACTTTGAACAACATTTCGGGCTGGGGCTTCAACAATGGCGCGCAACCGCAAATCCAACCGCCGCTCGACCAACTACAGGCCAGAGCCGGACTCTGGCAGCGGCTCACGCAAGGCCAGGGACGACTCCCACCGTCGAGCCGGAGCAGACCGCGTCGGCGACAGGAAGAGCCGATCTACCCGTCACTCAAACAGTGAAACCCGCCCGCGCAAGCATCGAAAGCACCGCCGTCACGAAGTTGTGACAGACACTGACGGTGACTACCTGATGGACAAGACGCAGCCCAGCCCCAAAAATGACACGCACCAAGGCCAGCCAGGTACCCGACAGGACACCGCTAGCTCGAGCAGCAAGAAACGCCACCCGGCGGAGCGACCCCAACGGCTGCCAGACCACAGCCGCGAGAAACCGCCCGAGCGCCGCGAGGCAAAGAAAGACTACCACTTCCGCCGACAGCTTCTGGCCCTCCTCGAACAGCAACGCCGGGTTGTGGAGGCCTGGGCAGACAGCCTCGGCGCAGGCGGCCCCGCGGAGCCGATGGAGTGGCAGCCGGAGCAGGAGCGGGTCGTGTACTTTGCACGAGTGCCCGTGGAGGACGACTGCTATGCGGACCGGTGGAGAATCGGCGGAACGAGAGAGGCGTACCCGACGTTGGGGTCGTGTGCCAGTGAACGGTGGCTCGATGGGTCACTGATGGGTGGAGCGCCGGCGGCAGCGGCTGAATCGGGTTTGGCCCAGGAAATCGAGTAACTTGACGTGTAAGACGAGTGGTGGAAACGACCAGCCTTTGAGCATCAACTTCTAATCAACTGCAATTAACTACCGGGACGAATGGAGTACAAGACTGATGACATGTCGTTCATAAAGTACTCTTGATACCTATGGGTTAACATGCAAAGCTCTGAACTAGACCGTCCTAAATTTTTTCCTAACGCCTGTCCAGATGAAGTCCGACCTGACCAAACCCATTGAAGCAAAAGTCAACCATCGTGGGAATCTCGCAAATGTACAGATTCAACCGCTAACATCCCTCTCCGCGTATCACATACATCTTTATCTATTTCGCGTAGCGGTTGTACTCGGCAGCGACGAGGCAGTGGTCACGCTCAAAGGGTTCTGCGACTGTTAGCTTGCGGGCTCTTGGCTGCAACTGGACGAGACGTACCTAGCGTAAGCTGCTCCTTGGGTGCGATGCGCTCCGCTCTCAGCTTCTCGACCTCCATGGCGAAGACCTTGGCGGCGGGGGCGGTACTGTCGATACAGTTGGCCTTGATGGAGATGAGGATGCCGCCGCCGACCTTCAGGAACTGGTGGGCGTTCATGGCGACGATACGGGCCTGGTCGGGCTGGGCAACGTCGGCAAAGATGGCGTCGACCATGGGCATGAGCATGCGGTACTTGAGGGGTTGGCGGGCGTCCTCGACGATGGGGACGACGTTGGTGCGCTTGGCGGCCATGCCAATCAGGTCACGGCCGGAACGGGGGGAGAACTCGACGGCGTAGACGAAGCCGGTGGGACCGACAATGTCGGCAACGTGGGAGACGGAAGTACCAGAGGCACCACCGAGGTAGAGGACCTTGGAGCCGGGGCCGAAGTACATCTTCTCGAGACCACCGATGACGGCGGCAGCAAGCTTACTGCGGAAGGGGTTCCAGACGCGGTACTCGACCTTGGTGGTTGTGGTGGTGCCGTCCTCGTTCTGGACAACGTCGTCGACGGAGACGCGCTTCTCGCCGTAGACGGACTCGCCGGGGACGATGTTGCGGGTTGCGATGGCGTCCTCCTTGCCGCGGACGACAAAGATACCCTCGTGACGGTGAGGCTCGACGATGACCTTGGCACCTCCCTTCATTCCCTTGGCTGTGCGCGCTGTTAGCTCAAAGCTGTTTCTCTCTCAGGGGGGGACTCGTGGATGAAGCTTACGTCCGCCGCGACCACCGGGCTTGCCAACACCTCCACGACCGCGACCACCAGCGCCGCCACGGGGACCACCACGGCCGCCTGCTATCGCGTCAGCTTCTTGCTCTGGCATCGCCATCGCCATCGACATGGTTAATTACCTCCGCGGGCACCGAAGCCGCCTCTGCCACCTCCTCTTCCGCCTCTGTCGCCGAAGCCACCGCGTCCGCCGCGACCACCTCCGCGACCTCCTCTATCACCGCCGAAACCACCACGGCCACCGCCTCTGCCGCCGGCGCCGCCACGAGCCTGGAAAGGAGCCATTGTCTCTTATCGGATGTTGGGGTATATGAAAGAAATAACCGTCAGACTACTGCCAGTCCCGCGTTGTGAGAAGTCGAATTGGTCAGAGGTGCAGGTGCAGATGGTGTCCTCTGAGGGCGGGTTGGCGCTGGAGACTACTGGAGATAGAAATTTTCCAACTTTTTTTTTTTTCAGAGAGCTACAAGGTCCAAACATGCATTGGATGTGGGGTGTCATTCGTGATTGGCCACCGCGGAGCTGAGATTCACCGGCCTCCGGGCATGAATTTTTCTTTCCGATTAGATAAGGAGGTATCCACTCTTTTGGGAAATCGGCAACTGCCAGAAAGGGTCGCACTGGTGGTGAGAAGGCACTGCACGCGAGACAAGAAATATTTCCCATCATTTTCGACAACCACAAATCGGCTGCCATTTCGACGCAGTAAATTCAATCGCGACTTTACAAATCAAACGCCAGGTACGCCCATTTTCTCCCATGGCTTTCTTCCCAGACTGGCGCTGGAAATGGCCGTTTTTACCCCGTAGGGTTGCGGAGCCCTAAGGCAGACCCCTGCCGTTTCCCGATCCGCAAGCGAGCCAACCCGCGCTGAAGGGCTAGGGTCAAGCAAAGTTGTGAATTTCTTCTAACTCACTCAGCCAGCCCAGACGACGACCACCGACGCCGAAACCATCACCACACCCAACGATCAAGATGGTAAGTGCTTGCTGCTTCCCCATCCGTGAGGTCCTCGCGAGGAGACCCGTCGTCGCCCTCGGAAAACCACGCCGCCGCCGTCGCCGAGAACCTGGTTGCATTTCAAAGTGCCGGGAGGGAAAACATGACGAAAATTCGACAGCCCCGGGACCGAGGCGGGGGGAGGATCGCAGACTGCAGACGATGTGCACACGAGACTGACACAATGGCCTGCCCATAGGTTCGTTACGCTGCGACCGAGATTGCCCGCGAGAAGTCGGCCCGCGCCCGCGGCTCCTACCTGCGCGTGTCCTTCAAGAACACCCGCGAGACCGCCCAGGCCATCAACGGCTGGAAGCTCCAGCGCGCCGTCAAGTTCCTCGAGAACGTCCAGGAGAAGGCTGAGGCCGTCCCCTTCCGCCGCTACGCCGGCTCCATCGGCCGCACGGCGCAAGGTACGACATGTCCCGGACCGAAGTCGTCGTCGTCGACGACGCGGGGTCGACGATGAACCACCAGAGGAGGACACACAAAGTACTGACCCCCAATCCAGGCAAGCAGTTCGGTGTCTCCCGCGCCCGCTGGCCCGTCAAGTCCGCCGAGTTCCTCCTCGGCCTCCTGAAGAATGCCGAGTCCAACGCCGACGCCAAGGGTCTCGACACTGGCAACCTGGTTGTCAAGCACATCCAGGTCAACCAGGCCCCCAAGCAACGGAGACGCACATACCGTGCCCACGGTCGCGTACGTACACTCTGTCACTCGACCCGCCGTCCGCCACTAACAGCCGCAGATCAACCCCTACATGTCCAACCCCTGCCACATTGAGCTGATCCTCACCGAGGGCGAGGAGGTCGTCCAGAAGTCCGATGCCGTCGTTGGCCGTGAGGAGGTCCGCCTCAACTCCCGCCAGCGCGGTGCCCGCGTCCGCCAGGCCATCACCGCCGCATAAGCGACCTGATTTCGAGTGCGGTATGACTGGTGTAACGTGAACCTGGGGAGGTCTTGGGTTGATGGATGCGTGGAAAAAAATGCGGCTTTTCATATGCTGGTGTACAGGATGGCTATGGTCTCATGGCATTTAGGGATTGGCATGCGAATTCACGCAAAGGTCTGATGGGCCACCAATAAACAAAACCTGCAAAAGTGATTCCCTAAAGTGGTCCTAGATGAGCATTCATGACTGGCGTCAAACGGAAATGGATATGCATTCAATTAGTCCTCGCTGTCTCAAAACTCATAAAGTGCTTTTATGACGTCCAACACGTCTCAGTCTTTTCCCGTGGTATCATTGTCCAAACGCCGGTCAGTCCCCCAAAGTTGAAATACACAGAATCTACGGCCGTGCCATACTAGTTGGCCGTCTTGGTAATCGTGCCGCTGAAGCGGCCCTTACCAGGAACCATGACACCGTCCCTCTTCGCTGCCTCGATGACCTCTTCGTCATACCAGGATGCCCAGGTCAGGTCCATCCCGTACGCAGTCGCCAGATTGAAACGCTCCTGCGGCGGCAAGAAGTTGGTGATCTTGGCCGCCAGCCGGTCGTTGCAGTGCTGCATGAACGGCGCCAGCTCCCTTCGCCGCGTCGTGATCTCTTGCGGCTCCTGCCACGGGGGGCGCAGCGGCAGCGTGTTGGTGTTGTCGATGAAGGGCACATCCAGCGCCACGTACCCACACGACTTGAATGACATGCTCTCAAGACAAAAGCTCTTCTTCTCCTTGCGCAGGAGATTTGCCCTGGGAATGAGTTTGTAGCCCTCGTCCGTTGCAGCATCGTCCAGCCCCTCGGTTTCATCGTCATTGTCTTGCGTGGCCGTCAATTCTGCAATGCCAGGCACTGGTGCGAGCCGTTCGATGACGCCCGTCCAAGTGAGTAGGTCTGGCACCCGCAGCCGCATGCTGTCCCACTCGGGGGTGACAGGGTCCGGTGCCTGTGCCAGCGCCGGTGCCTGGGCATTCTGGGCACCGATGTTGAGCGCTTGAGCTATTTGCGCCGGGCCCTGGGCCAGGATTCCGAGCGGGATATTGATCAGCTGGGCTGGAGCTGCTCCTGGTTGGTTGGGTGCGGGTGGCAACGGTGGCGGCTGGAGAGCCTGCGCGTTGGCCTGGACGGGCTGCAACTGCCAGACCTGCTGCTGCTGGCCTTGAGCCTGCAGCTGTGCGGCAGCAGCGGGAGCGGCCAGGTGCCCGTGGAAAAAGGCTGCATGGCCTTGCCGCCGTACAGGCGGCCCAGCCAGGGAGACGGTCTCCAGCTCCAGCTTCTCTAGAGACTGGAGGGCCATGGACCGGATCACCTGCAAGAATACGTGTGGCGCGCTGTAACAGTTCTTCAAGGAGAGATGCTTGATGTGCGGCAGGGAAAGCAAGAGGTCTGGCGACTTGGCGGCTTCGAGCGCCGGCATATGCGCGGGCATGCAGAAGGGTGCGGGCAGGACGTAGTGGTTGCGCTGCGTGATGCCCGGGGCGAATTCGCCGCCGCAAATCCATTCAAAGTGTAGGAAGGAGATATTCTTCTGTTGGCCAATGTAGTCCCGCAGCACGCGGTAGGCTCTGCCGACGGCATCTACGGGCGAGACGAAGGTGTCCTCGACGCAGCCGGGTGCGACTTTGGCGACCTGGCGCCAGTCTGCCACGACTGCGAGGGCGACGTTTGTCAGGTTCGGCAAGCTCTGCCAAAAGTCCTGCCGCTGGAACATGAACAGGTGGCTGCTGGGTATCTTGGCGATCGTCAGGGTCGTCAGTGAGCTAAAGTCGTTTGTGCGGGCGTTGTCGCTGAGCGCAATGACGTAGGACTGGATGAGTGCCCGGTGAGCCCACTCGAGCTCCAGAAGCATCTCTTTCTGGGCCCGCGTCAGATTCTTGGGCTGTAGAGGGTGGCCGGTGGTTGTATCAGCCAGCGCCGATGCCACCGCGCGCTGGATCGCAGCATCTTCTGCGTCTCCGTCAACGGGGTTTGCGTTGACGTTGGGATGCTGTTGCTGGGCAAAGACGTTGATGGCCAGGTCAGGTACGGAAGCGGTGCGCTCGTCAAAGTCAATGTTCATCAGCGAGACGTTCTCCGTGTTGAGAAGCATGTTGATGGCCTCCTTGACCTGCTCCTGCGAGTAGCCGGCATCCTTGACCATCGACTCCAGCACTGTGTACTTGAAGTCGCGGGGGCTTTCAAAGGCAAGCTTGCGGGCATTCATGTTGGCCGACTCGGCTCGCGCCAAGCGCCGCTGCAGCAGCCTATACCGCAGATTGCGCAGGCCGAAAACTGGATGCGGCAGCGGCGGGCTTTCGAGCTGCTGGTCCGGCCCCAAGAGGTAGCCCAGCCCGGCGTCGCAGCAGAGGCCCAGCTCCTGGACGTGCTTCAGACACTTCAACGCCTCCTTCATCGATGCGGTCTCGTCGGCGGTCTGCTCGAGTCCTTCGAGTTCCGTGTACCGATGGTACGATTCGTGGGGCCACCGGTAGATTCCCCAGTAAGAGGTGACGGCCTTCTGCGTGGGCTTGATGGGGGGGTATGCCAGACTCTCTTCGTCCAGCTCCAGCGACAGGGCGAACCGCAAGATGTGGTTGCCAAAGGACTGGAAGATGCGCATTCCGCTGGCAAACAGGGTGTCGGTGCATGGTTGGGTCGTTTCCTCCTCCTCCTCGCATGCCACCTTCCTCCGGGCCTTGTACATCTCTGACCGGAACGGGACGACGACATTGCGAAAGTACTTGGCCGAGACCATGCGGTCGAACTCGTGGTTGACCAGTCGCAGGCTTTTGACGTCGGTCCGAGACAGGTAGGTGGTGATCTCGTCAAAGATTTCGACAGGGACTTGGGCAGGCGGCCAGGTGAGCTGCGGCGGGTCTGAAGCCATGGAGTCGAGCCTTCGTCGTTTCCGGGGCATTTCCAGCGCTGCATGCCGTTCACTCATGGCCGTCCGGGTATCCGCTCATGGGTTGGATTGCCTGGTCGAGGCAATTCGGTCGGCAGGTGTCGTGGGTCGCGGCTGCCGGGGGATCGGTCGATGGACTTTGCCGTCGACGGCAACACGGGCGTGAAAAGCAAGCCTAAGTCTATTTTCGGATAAAACGACTGTGTACGAATGTTGCTGGCCAAACGGTCGACCAAAGGTTTGTTTGTAGTCGCAACGGAAGCTGTCGGGTGGATCAGGCGGGAGCGGGTGACGGCTGATCCGCGGCAAGAGAGTATGTAATTAAAAGGTGCTAATGTAACAGGATAAACAAATCGTGGGGTTCGGTTGCGACGAGTGTTTGGCGAGACTCGACGAACGCTGGCGACTGGGAGGTTGATTGCAAGAACGAAAGCTGAAAAGAAAGTGCGTCTGGCCGAGGGATGATCGTCTTTGGGACGAGTGAAAGTGAAGTCACCGAGGGTGGTTTGCGAGCCACTTTTTTTTCTTTCTGGCGTCCTGAAGGAAGGGCACACGTACTCGCCATTGGCTGTTTGCAGAGACTTTGCACATGTGGCCGGGGCTTGGGCGGGGGTGGCATGGCATGGCAAATGTTTCGCTGCTCCAATCACCTCATTGTTCGGGCACCCTGAGCTGCCTGCTGCCCACGGACCTGCCCCGGCTTGCGGGGATTTGCGGCAATGGCCGGGGGCCAGGTGCCGCCGTAGGTGAGCCTGGTAAGGCACTTCAGTGTACCTACTATGCAGTAAGGTAGGTTTAGCGGGTGGGTCGGAGGGTCCAGACGCCGAATCCAGGGCATGGAAGCCTCAAAGGCTTCTGGAACTCGCACAGTTGTCACGATGCAGCTCGCTTGCAAACAGTGTGACTTGGTCATTTAAAATTATCGCAATGCTATCCACTGGCTCAGTCAATGGCCGACCAACTCAGCCACGGGATGCCGTGGAAATACATGATGGTATATCGAAGAGAACTTGTGCATATTTCATAGAAAAACCCCCCAACGCCATGGACTAACACTGTTTTATTGCTGTTCCTGCCCTAGGCTGCGGACTTGACGGGCGCTTTGCCTTGGTAAAACCAGTACCTAAAAGACTGTTAGCAATGCTGCGCAGACGGGACATGTTTGGAAAACTCACTCGGCAGCGTATTGAACTTCGAAAGCGGCGGGCTGGCCTTGACAAGTAGCGGGAGCGCTGCCGCCAACAGTGGTGATGCGGTAGACCTCTTGAAGGTTTCCGGTGCTTCCCGCCGTCGTGAGAAGCTTCAGCCACGGCACGGCGCCCTCACCTTGCTGGCCCTTGGCCGCCATGGTGGGCGCGGCAATGGAAGAGTTCTTTGCGCACCATGCGTCGCCAATCTCGACTCCATCGGTCGCGAGCTGGAAGAACGGGACGCCGGTGGTGGGGAAGATGTGGTGTCCAGAGACGGCAAGGCTGCTGGGGCCGAGTCGTTGTTGGTCGTCACTGTCGGTGAGGTTGAACTGCATCGAGACCGAGGGCAGCTTCTCGAGGAGGTCGGGGTACATGGCAGCCACGCAGCTCGCGTTGAAGAGCGTGGCTTTGGCGCCAGTGGCGACGGGCACAGCTGTTGCGTTGCTGGTGTCGCATGTGTAATTTTGGGTGCCGCGGCCGATGGCGACGTGCTTGAGAGTCAAGCCCGCGGACGGTGGAGGGAGGTCCTCGGCAGCTGGTCAAGTCAGTTTACGATGGTCGACCCGCGCCAGCAAGGGCCACCCACGAGAAATCATCTTGGCCTTGGTCAGGTCGCAGACCGGTTCGGCTGACAGGTACTTGAGCGCCTGGACCTTGGTGGCGAGCATGTTGAAGTACTCGGAAATGTCCTCAATGTTTCCCGGCAGGGCTGAGTTGAGGTTGAGGGTGGGGTATGTGGGCGCCGCCAGGGCGAGGGATGCCAGTGTTGGCACCAACAGAGTTGCGAAACGCATGTTGGTGTTGATGGGGGCGGACTGATGCGGTATTGGTGATGGTGTTGTTGGCCGTCGTGTGATTATGCCCGTGACCAACAGTCAGAAAATACAGCCCAATTCCAAGCAAGGAGACCGAAACTAAGGAAACTGAAGATAGGAAACAACGAAGAAACGGAAATGGAAAGGAAAGGAAAACAAAAAAGACTCGTCTCTGAATATATGAGCTAGACTTTGTGGTGGAAAACAAACGAGTCTTGAGCAGTCAAGCGGGCAGCCGCTTTTAATATACCACAACATCATGAACCCTCCCTCTGGCGGCAAACAGAGCGACTGGCCGCTCTCCATTTTGGCAGGGACCGACCTGCCCAGACCGGCATAGTCTTGCGGTTCGAAAAAGATGGCGGGGAGGGGGCCAGGGTCTGCCGATGTGGTGTGCAAGGCAACGCGTGGGTATTCGCAGGAGCCAGAGACCAAGACTGGCAGCCGCCCTGCCATGCAACCGTACGACGGCAGAATAGAAAACGAGCCAGGGCGGGAAGTTGAACGAGAGCGAATGGAGTGGAGGGCGGGATGCACGTAATGTCGGAGTGGAGGGTGGATGGTCAGCGATCTTCGCCGGGGTCTTTCAGATGCAAGCGCCCGGCCCGCCCAAAGGCTTGGTCGAAGTTGAGTAGCGGGGACACGTCTCCGCGGGCTTCAGAAACCCCAATAAACATGCCGCGACCGAAGAAAGAGATTCGACGGGTGATGGCTGCGACGAAGGCGCATCCGTTGCATCTCGAAGCCCTCGTCGCCCCAGTCTACGACGCCGTCTTCGTCCGCGACCCGCGATCTCCATCTCCAGCTGCCGCGAGACGGCCCGGCAAACAGCTCTCGCGAACAGGGCGGCTAGAGACCGAAATAGCACACCGCGTCAAGACTCGACTCCCATAGGCCGGTCGAAATTGCCAGGGACGGTACGACCTTGTACCCGTCTTCTCCCCGGCGACGCGCCCACGATGCAGGTATCCGCTCTTGTACATGCTTTTGCCGCGCCAGACCACGCTGTTGTCGCCGTCTCATTGGCTGCGGGCAGAGACCCCATTTGGGCCGCGGAGACGGGCCAGCGCCAACAGCCTTGGTCGAATGGCGTGCCGCTTTTTGACATCGGGTGGCAGGCCTAGAAAGACAACCCGACAAGAATAGAACCGCTTGGTGGAGAGCCACGAGCGGTCGATGCCCGACTCTTGACCAAAAGATCTCGCTTGGCGGACGGTGCCGTCCCTGGGTATTACGTGATCTGGTATCTGTCTGTATTGATGAGATCTCACTAATGCCACATTCATATCCGTACATAGCCAGACGCCGCCCAATCGTCCAAATGCAATATCAAAATAGGCCGGCCTCGTCGGAGACCTTGCCGTTGCCAGCCTCCTGAGACTAGTGCCCGTTGAACCCTTCTTCGTGCCAGTCGCCGTGACCGTCGCCGGCCCCATGGACGCCGCCGGCGCCCGCTGCGGCGGCTGCTGCTGCCGACTTGCCAAGGTTGCTGGCGTGTTTCTCCACGTCGACCGTGCCGAGCCAGTATAGAGAACAAAAGACGAGGAGGTGCAATGCGACACAGTACGCCGCAAATAGATTTCTGCTCGTCCGCGAGGCCAAGACCATCCGCGTCACCGAGTACACCACGCGCTCCGGGAAGCTCATTCGCTTGTAGGCCCTGGCCGACTCGCGCCCTCGGAAGGCGGCAAACGGCGAGATGTTTGATTCGTACGCCTTGCGGTACCTGTCCATCGTGATGCCTGGGTTTCCGGTCCCGCCGATCGATACCGTCGACGGGTTGGGATTTGAGGAGTATGCCGCCGAGGACGACGACGCTGACGGGCCGGCGCGGTTGTACGTCGACACGTATCTCGTCTTCTCATACAGATTGAGATTATCCTTCTGGAGGGCCGACACCTCCTGTCGCAGTTGCGAGATGGTGCGGTGGCTCTCAGATAGCTCCCCCTCTAGTTGAGCGATCCTCTTCTTGAATCGGTCGCGCTGCGCCGTGATCATCGGCAGGATACCTGAGCCACCGCCCATCGGCTCCTCGCCAACCGTGCGAGGGTTGATGCCGCTGATGATTGACGACGTGGGCGACACCCTTCCTCCGACAGGCCTTCGCCCCGGCGCGACGGACGGTGCGTACCGGTTGAAGGTGCCGGCTACGGACGCGCCTGACGGGAAGGCATTTGAGGACTCCGACTGCAGCGTCGCCAGGTCGTTCTCGAGCCGCTCGTTCAACTGCTGCGACTTTTCCAGGTCCATGTTTGTCCTGGACATCTCCTCCTGCAGCTCGGACAACTTTGTCTGGAGGTCCTGGTGGGAAACGCGTAGAATGGTGAGTTCGTCGCCAAGCTTCTTGTTACGCGCCAGAAGCAGCTTCTCGAGCGTGTCGCCTTGGCTCTTGGCCTCGGCGGCAGTCTCGGTGGCCTCTCGCACATCGTCATCATCGCCCGTGGAGAACTCGATGCTTTTGAGCACTTCGAGCTCTTGCTTCACGTCGTCGTAGTCGCTCCATTTCTGCACCTTGGCCTTGAGGTTGTCGCGCTCCTCCTTGAGCAAACCAACCTCCCTCTCCAGGCCACGCAGTCTGCTGTCAAGGTCACGCTTGAGTCCCTCCTTCTCGACCCGGGCCGCGTCGAGCTTCCGGATGAGCGACGAGTTCTCGGACCGCATGCGCATGTATCCTGGGTCGTCCTCCAAAGCCACAGGGGCTTGCGATGGCATGGACGACTTTGCTTGTGCGAGCTCCAGCCGCAGCTGCTCGTTTCGCGCCTCGATCTCTGCCAGGCGCGCGCTCGTCCGGTCCAAGTCAGAGTGCAGCATCTCAATCTCGGCGCTGGTGACGTGGGTCTGTCCCTCTTGGTCGCCGTCGTCCGTCTTGCCCAGTCGCTGGTTGACCTCGTAGCTCGCCTTGATCTCGTTGAGCAGGCGTTCCTGGTTCTCGACCTTCTCCTCCAGCGTCTTCTCCTTGGACGCCCAGTTGTCCTTCTTCTCATCGAGAACAGCAACCCAGGAAGCCTCAACCTCCTTGACCCTGCTCTCCAGGTTGCTTTCGAGCTCCTTCTTCGCCGCGGACTCGGTTTGCAGCTTCGACTCCGTCTCCTCTAGCTGTGTCGTCAGCTTGGCCACGGACTTTTGCAGGTGCTGGTTCTCTTCGGTGAGCTTCGGCAGTGTGTCTTCGGAGACGAGCATGGAGTCGACGGACGCCTCGAGCAGGGGGTACGGGTCGGGGGCATCGGATAGAGACGTGTAGGCTTGCAGGAAGGCGGAGTTGATCGACTTGGAGTGGTTCGTCAGGAGGTCGATGAAGGTTTGGTAGGCTGCGACAGTCAGCAAACGTCGCTACGCTGCGGCGAACCACGCACCCTTCAAGAGGCCCTTGATCTCGGACAGTTTCGTGGCATCATCAAGCTTTCTAAAGTCCTTGGTCTTCTGTGCTAGCTCCTTTCGCTGGACGGTCGAATCCCTCTGGTATGCGACAATCTCGGAGGCGGTATTGTCGAGCTTCGAAATGAGGCTTGTGTAGTCAATGGCTGTCTGGGTCAGTCAAACGAATCCCACACGGCGGACAAGCTCCTCCTTACTTCTCCAGGCTGAGATGGCATGTTGGAACTTGTTTCCCCCGTCCGGGATAGCTGGACCCGGCTTTTCGGCATGCTGGGCGTTGGCGTCGGCGGCCAGGACTGATTCGACGAGGTCTGCCATGTCTGCGTTGGTGTCTGTGGCGGTCGATGGTTCAATTCATCACTTCATCAAGAAAAGACGCTGAAGACGGGCTCCCGGGTCGGAGTCGTGAGCTGTTGAGCTTGCGTTCAGGTGGTTGTGTTTCGGCTGAGCTCAGAGTTCGAGAACGTGTTCCCTTTCCAGGCGACCAATCAGTGGGATGCAGGCGGTTTCCAGGGGCGCACAGGCAGCCAGTTGATCATCGTGCCTGCGGAGCCACCCCCAGGCGCGCCGCACATGCTTGCGCCGGTAGGCCGGCAACCTGGTGCATGAGTCCACTAAGACGCTAGAGAACGGGCTGCCTACGTAGGTGCCCTACGTAACAGAGCGGGAGCTATCAGAGCACTTGGAAGCCTGAACCTGGTGTCACCCACCCGCCAGCAACCAAGCAGCTTTCCACGCCGGAGCTTGCCAGCCTCAACGCAACGCAGCAGCAGCATCTGTACCGATCGCATCACGACCTCGACTCCGGGCAAGCGCAACGGCAGACGATGGCGTAGCATCCCCGATGACTGCACAAGCGACAGACCATGACCTCCGAAGATCCAGACGACCAGCGCTCGTCTGCGTCTGGGAGCTCCGATGCGATGGCCCGCAATGAGGGACCCTTTGTCTTGCGCACGCTGATGGACGAGGTGCCCTTGTCTGCAGACGGCGCCGGCGAGGGCGTCAAGATCAATTGCGTCGAGTACCTAGGTGAGGCTCTTGTGCTGTCTCGGATTGGCCTTCACTGACACATCTAGATCATAACCTTTACGTCGGCACGAGCGCGTCCGAATTGCTTCACTTTGTCCAAATCCCTCCCGACCCCGCCGACCCAGCCGGACGGCCTGCCTTTATACTCGCTTCGAGGCTGCGGCCGGCGTTTGCCGAGTCTAGCAACTCTCGCCCAGGCGTGCAGCAGATCCTGCTGCTGCCCAAGGTCGGAAAGGCCTGCATCCTTTGCAACTCGACCGTCACATTTTACTCGCTCCCCGAGCTGAGCCCGGTATTCGGCACCACCCAGGTCAAGAACTGCAATTGGGTCGGCGGCGTGGACTTGAATCAGCCCCAGGATGACGATGGCGGCCCAACCGCGGGCGTGTTTATCCTCCTGTCGTTGAACCGGAGAATCCAAGTCGTAAAAATAGGCGAGGTCGCCAGGGCCGTCAAGGTAGTCATGCCTCCCATCTCACCCGACCACGACTGACCGCAGCTTAGAATATCGACGTGCCCGGAACGACGATATCGGTCCGCAGAGACTCTATCGCATGCGTGGCGGACGCCAGGAGTTACTCCCTGCTGGACGTCGACAGACAGCTTCGCATTCCGTTGATGACTATATCGTCCCTGGATGATTCCCAGCCCGCGGGGGAGATTGGCCAAGCCCAGGACATCGCTGGCAGCGCCGACGGAGGGATTCTGAGGAGCGTGTCTGCGGCTCAGAACCGACCGCTGCTGTCCGCGGGAGACCCCCATGGACATGCAAGAAGCACGAGCCTGGGTGGCCTCCTCAGCGGACGTCGTGACCAGAGTCCGCAAGGGGCGGTAGATCGCGTGCTCCAGGGATCATCGCCACCGACACCCTCGACCAGTCCAAGGCCTTCCGGCGAGGCCCAGGTGCCCCCGCCGTCGACAGACAAGCCACTGCCCGCTGCGCCGGGGGCCCAGACATCTCCGACGAAGCCGACGCCGGTCTTCCTCAAGCCACACATTGTCTCGCCAACGGCGGAGGAGTTTCTACTTGTCACCGGCACCGGGCCTCTCGACCCCGGCATCGGCATGTTTGTGAACCTCGACGGTGATCCTACGAGGCCGACCGTCGAATTTGACAGGTATCCCAGGGAGGTCGTAGTAGATGGCGGGTCGTCAGACATGTCGTCGTCCAAAATGGCACTCGCGGACGAGGAGGAAGGCTATGTCATCGCGTCCATGACGAAGGATTTCGAAACGGGCCTGCGTCACGGGCTGGAAATCCAGCGGTGGGACTCTGACGGCACAGAGCCGACAACATCAAAATGGTGGCTCGAGATAGACTCGCCAGACACAGACGCCACGATGCCCCTGGGCATTAGATCCCTCATGGGCGTGGAGGAGACGCACTTTGAGGAGATTGTCGACCGGCTGTGCCAGAGAAAGTTCTCGCCCTTTTCTGGAGGCGGGCTAGAAAACCCGATTTTCTCCCCGCGGAGTGCAGATGCACGCACTGCCTCGTCCCTGGAGCGGATGACCAAGGAGCGGGAGCTGTTCGATTCTGCATCGCAGGACGAAGACGCGTTGCCGGAAGGGTGGGAGGAAAGCAGGAACGCGGAAGAAAGAGAATTCGCAAGACGGCTGGCCGACGCCAACTCGAGAATCGCAGTCTGGTCGGGCAACCACATCTGGTGGGCCGTTCGCAATCCCTTGCTGCTGCGGCTCGAAGCCAGGCTCGAAGCTGCTTGCGCACAGGACGGTGCTTTCAACCCCGCCAAGCTCGACCGACATGCAGTGTTCACGGTCCTCAACTCCTTCCGGGGCCAGGACGCCAAGTCAGAGTTGGAGTTCGTGACGTTCAGCTACCTGCGACAGCGCGCCGGCGTCCTGCTCTTGACGAGCCTCTTCCACGCGGCGGAGGCTCCGTTCTCGGACGGCGAGCTGAAGGCGCTGGAGGAGGTCCTCGTGGACAGCAGCCTCGACCCGCGCGTGGTCCTCTCCCTGGTCCCCGGCCTGCGTAACGAGATCGTCGAGAGCCGGAGGGGCATTTGGATCTTTGGCGGGGTGAAGAAGACGACAGAAAACTACCTAGAGAGTGAGCACTTCCAGAAGGCGAGCCATTCGGTCAGTGACCTCGATACCAAGGTCATGCAGTTCCTGCGGCGCTTTCTGGCGGCGTGGAGAAAGAAGAAGGGCTTCGGCAGTGTCGCCGACGAGAGCGAAGTCTTCCGGACGGTCGACGCCGCCCTTTTGCTGGTGCTTCTCGAGCTGGACCAAAAGTCTCCCAAGGGGCTGGCGAAGAAGAGCTCCTCCGTCAGGTCGGAGCTATATGACGTTGTCGACAAGGGCGTAGACTGCTTCGACCGGGCGGCCGGGCTCCTGGAGACGTACCACCGTCTTTTCGTGCTCAGCCGGCTGTACCAGAGCCGAAAGATGGCGGGCGACGTGCTCGCGACGTGGCGCCGCATCGTCGAGGGCGAGCGGGACGACGGCGGGGAGCTGAGCGACGGCGAGCAGCGCGTCCGCGAGTACCTCACGAAGATCAGCAGCCAGGCCCTCGTCCGCGAGTATGGCGTGTGGCTTGCCAGCCGCAATCCCAAGCTGGGCGTGCAGGTGTTCGCCGAGGACAAGGGCAAGGCAGCCAAGTTTGAGCCAGCGCATGTCGTGGAGATCCTCCGCGAAGAGGCGCCTGACGCGGTCAAGTACTACCTCGAGCATCTCGTCTTCGGCAAGGGGCACACGGAATACGTGAACGATCTCATCGCATACTACCTGGACATTGTCATAAGCGATCTCGAGTCGTTCCCGGAAAGCCGAGAGGCCTTTGCCGGCACATACACAGCGTACAGAGCGCTACAGGCGCCCAAGCCGACCTACCGACAGTTCCTCACGGATAACGCGCCGGAGGACAACGAGGTCTGGCACAGCCGCCTGCGGTTGCTGCACCTGCTCGGGGAGGCCCACCAGTACGATGCCGCAGCCATCAGGGAACGCATCGCGGCCCTCCCAGACGAGCTCCTCGTCCCCGAGACCATCATCCTGGACGGGCGTGAGCGACGGCACGAGGACGCCATCCGGCTGCTGGTGCACAAGCTCGGGGACTACGACACGGCCGTCTCGTACTGTCTGCGCGGCGGCTCCAGCATTTACAGGCGTCCCGACGGCAGGCGGGAGAGCACGCCGACCCACGACATGCAGGCGCGGCTCTTCCGCGCGGTGCTGGGCGAGTTCCTCGCGATTGAGGACGTCAGCGACCAGATTGAGCAGACGGGCGCGCTGCTCGAGCGCTTCGGCGGCTGGTTCGACGTGGAAGACGTGCTGGCCCTCATCCCGGACGAGTGGTCCGTCGACGTCGTCGCCGGCTTCCTCGTCACGGCGCTGCGCCGCATCACGCAGGAACGGCACGAGACGACGGTGACCAAGGCGCTCAGCTCCGCGGAGAACCTCCGCGTGAACCACGATCTAATCGTCAAGGTGGACGAGAAAGGACCATCGATAGAGGCGCCGAATTAGCGTGCCGTGTACATAGTTTGGCATTTAGACTCAGTAGTAGCAAGCGACACAATGATATTGAGAACAGGGCTCGGTCCCGTATGGTATACGAAAGCGTGCCATGGCGCACCTGGTTGACGGCAGCCGTCGGGACCCGTCCGCTCCGGCCACGGATGCGGCGGGTGGCCGGACTGTTCGTCGTGAGACACCATGCCGGCGTGGTACAAATGCTCATCGTCTATCCAGCCGTTTCTGCCAATACATTCACCCAAGGCCCGCGACGCACCACCTCCACCAGACAAACCACTCCGCTCATTCCCAGGCCACCAGCGGTAGGCATGACAATGACATGCCCTGTCAAGACGAGAAAGACTCGTTTATACGCAGTTTGCGTAGCTCGCCTTCTCAGCTCCAAGTTCTTGGTTGTGCAGACCGGCTTAGTGATCTGATGACGCACATGTCTCGCAACCCTCACCTCCAGAATGCACATCAAATCGTGTAAGTGGGCGCGGCTGAGGTGCGGACATGACGGAGCCGCAAAGGAAGAATGCGTTGAGCTTGGCCTAGACGGCAGTTCGGAACGACGGGAGATACCGGCACGGATGGATGCACACACATGCACACACGAAATAACAACCACGTCGAGAGCGAAAAAGGGAAGCGAGAGCACTCGGAAACCGAATCGAGGTTTAAAGATTCCATATCAGATGGGTGGCGGCACTTTGTCTGTTGGCGATCGACCGCCAGCCCGATTCGGCCGTAGCCCACCACGATACTCAAATACTCTGAATACTCAAATACCTTGGCCTTGTTGGTGT